GGTAAAAAACTGGCTGGATGGCCAGGCCCAAAGGGTGGTGGTGAATGGAGTAAATCCCGTTGTCAGCCGGTCTCAAGTGGTGTTCCCCAGGACTCCATGTTGGCACCAGTTCTGTTTAATGTCTGTATCAATGATCTGGTCAAGGGGATCGAGTGCACCCTCAGTAAGTTTGCAGCTGACACTGAGTTGGGCAGGAGGGTTGGTCATCCTGAGGGCAGGAAGGCTGTACAGAATCAGGATCACAGTATTGCTAAGGTTGGAAAAGACCCATAAGATCATCCCATCCAACCATCAACCCAACACTACTGTACCCACTAGAGCATGGACTGAGGCACCACATCTACACGTTCCTTGAACACCTCCAGGGATGGTGACTCCACCACTTCCCGGGGCAGCCCGTTCCTGACCACTCTGTCCGTAAAGAAGTTTTTCCTAATATCCAATCTAAACCTCCCCGGACACAACTTGAGGCCATTTCCTCTAGTCCCATCACCAGTTACCCGGGAGAACGGACCAGCACCTGCCTGCTTGTGTCTTGACAAAATTTGCTTTTAAGACTAAACAAGAAGTGCAGGAGTGTATCCAATTGGAGACCGTGTATGTCAGAAGAAAGGAGGAAGGATCCTCTTTGTGAATGTAAAAGCAGGATTATAGTGCAGTGCCGTGTATTGAGACTGGTGCAAAAATGTTAGGCACTGAAGAATTATTTTTGGAAACCTAATTAAGGATTTTCCTATGAAATCTGCATTCTTGATATTCCATAGAACAATTTGGGTGACTGTATATGTATATATTATATATTTTTGAAAGAACCATTTCTTTACAAAGCCGCATATCTCTCCAGTGAACTGAAATTTAGGAAAAAAAATTATGCATGGTATCGCTGGAGTTGCAGTTTATTTGGGGAACATCCTCCCTATTAATGGAGACAGAGGTCTGTTCAAACACAGCTTCCTAAAACCAGTGTAGTAAGAAGCCTAAGCAAACTCAAAAATTAATGCTGAGTCAAAGCTAAATATTTAATTTCAATTTTCCCTCTGAGATTGAATTGGTTTTGGGTTGTGGGGGTTTTTTTTGGGGTGGGGGGTGAGGTGTTGTGGGTTTTTGGTTTTGTGGTGGTTTTTTTTTTTTTTAGTGGAGTCCATAAAAAATCAACATTTTGATAGGATATTCCCAAGCAGTTCTAGTTTCCCTGTTTTGTATCCCATTGATAGAGATGTGTCACTTCTGGACTGTAGGGAGTTGTTTGAATAGGATATTCTCTCATCCTTTCTCTGAAAATACTTCCTCTGCTCCAATTCCAAACAATTTCCCAGTAGTTTAAAAACCAATTTCTCTATTTCCGCAACAAATTGTAGGCTAGAGAAATGTACGGTGGTGGCGTGTGCTGTCTGCTTCCCCCTCATTTAGCCCAGAAGATTGCTTTCTATCGGCTCGTGTTAGTTGGCATCCCCAGGAATGGAGGTGCCAGCAGAAACCACTGCTCTGCCTTAACCCTGCAGAGTCTGTCTGGCTTGGTTATCTCCTTCCCCCACTATATCTGTGCAGATGTTTCTGTCCATCCGTAGCACGGCTGTTTGGCTCCTCCATTAGAGGTGTACAGTTCAGCTTTCCTTTTTGTCTGTATCTTAATGTTACTCCCTTAAAAGGACCGGTTGGTGCGTGGCTGGGTTTTCCAAACCACAGACAAAAGTTGTCTGGGTTAGTGGTGGTCCATACACTCTTCCCCGGGAGCTTAGGCTTATGGTTAGAGGTTTGTTTAAATGATATTTACACTGGAGAGGAGTCAGTGTTGGCAGGATACACTGTGTTACCCAAGGAGAAAAGAGAGAGCCTGGGCTTATTGTCCTTTTGTGCTGGACCGGGAAATATTTTTCTACCCGCAGCGTGCACACCAAGGTCTGTCGGTGCCCAATTCTGGGCACCTCTGTGATGAATGGAAGGGTAATGGGTTTAAATTGAAAGCAGGGAGGTTTAGATTAGATATCAGGAAGAAGTTCTTCCCAGAGAGGGTGGTGAGGCACTGGGACAGGTTGCCCAGAGAAGCTGTGGATGCCCCATCCCTGGGAGTGTTCAAGGCCAGGCTGGATGAGGCTTTGAGCAACCTGGTCTAGTGGAAGGGGTCCCGGCCCATGGCAGGGGGTTGGAACTAGATGGTCTTTAAGGTCCCTTCCAACCCAAACCATCCTGTGATTCTATGAAACTCGGGGCTGCTGACGCAGGTGACTTGCTTCTATTTCTGCCAGACCAAGGAAGGGCTGTATGAGGGCAGAGGGGGTTTGAACGGTCATGTTTAATTATTCCTCCGAAGAGCTCTATTTTCAGAATTCCTGTTCTGCACAGATTATCGATACGCATGAGCTGTGAAGCTCCTCATTCCTAATTTTAACCTTGCAATTTGGGAGTGTATGGGGGGGGTGCCTTGTTTGTTTGTATTATTTTTTTAAAGTGAGATTTCTGTGTGACAGCCTGACTCAAACTTCAGGGATCCTTAGCAGAGATTTTTGCTAAAAACTAGCTGGTGAACAAAACCGAACCAAAAGCAAGCTCTTCATTAAACATGTAACTAAAAATCTACTCGCCAAAAAATAAGTACCTTTGAAGGACAGGTTGACCGACACTGGGATTGAATCTCTGATCCCTAAAATTATGTTCTATATCTCTGTATAATTTAGATTAAGCGACAAGGAGTCCTTAGGTAACAGCACTAAGTTTCCTATTTTCTGTGTTTTTTGGGACAAAAGGTGATTTATGTAAGAAATCAACATTTACCCTGCCACTGATGGTATTTTGAGACTCAAACAATTTCAGTGAGTTAAGATATAATAGGGAGAAAATATCCATACAGTTCACCAAACAGATATGCATGTATCTTTTCAGAGAATTGCCTGTGTTTAAAGTTGCTACCACTTCGTTTATCTGACAAATTGGAACACTACTAACCTTTTTTTTTCTTTAATCTCTTATTTTTTTATGAAGCCCTGAATGTTGAATAATTTGAGCCATTGATGTTTGATTTTTTTTTTTTATAAAATTAAGTGTGTGCATGAGAATATATATAGGGCTTCAAATATTATCAAATGTGGGGAAGATTTATCATGCAAAATCCCAAACAGAGTCTTTGCCTTGAAAAACAACACTCTAACATTTCCTTTGCTTTTTTTCAGGTGGATTTGGAGCCAGAAGGCAAAGTGTTTGTTGTCATAACTCTTACAGGCAGCTTCACAGAAGGTAAGGGAATTACTTTGGCTTGTTTCCATTAAGAGCTGGACTCTGGTGTACGCACTTGCCATCACTTACCAGACGGTATAGGAGGGAATGGCATTCTTCACGCGGGCCGTGGGCTGTTGTGCACCAGTCTTCTTGAGTGATGGGGGAAATGTGGGGGGAGCAGTTTGTAATGTTTGTGCCCTCTGCTCTGCTGTCGGTCCCATCTCAGACCCAGGGAGCCAATTCGTGCTTGATCTGGTTCATTTATGTGAAGTTGTCCTTGAAACGGATTGGTTTTGTACTCACACTTTTCTCCTAGGTACCTCTGGAGGGGCAAACTAAAGGAGCATGTTGAACATTTAAAATAGAACATGTTTAAAACATCTGGATGATTCTTATCCCATAATGGTTCCTATCTACTTCATGTGCATTTCTGTTTGAGTCCACTTTGCACAGGAAACTTAGAAGTTTTTTAGCGTGACAGCTGCCCTGAAAAAGTATCTGGTTGGATATTTTCCCTGTGACTGTCTTTTATAGTGTGATGTTTTTAATTTCCCTGATGTTTACTGTGATATCAGCTGCAAGTGTGGAGTTAAGCTCTCCTGGAGGAACCCAGGAAATCTGGCATGGGGTTCAGAAATAGGTTATTTTCTTCTGATCTGCACTATTGTTTTTATTTACTTTAGCTGCGGCCTCAAACTGCATTTGTTGGGGAGTGTTTTCTATACAGAAGCCAAGAATCGAGGCAGGGTCTGCTCCGCTATCTGGTACCTGCAGCCTGGGAGAGCTGGATTTTTAATGCTTTCTCTTGTTCTGCCCTAGGAACTGATTGCTTGGCGTGGAGGCTGTGCCAGGGGCTGTGGCACAGGCAGCCCACCCTGCCATGCTCCGTCTTGGATGTGAGAAAGGTGCAAGCTGGGGGGTGCTTGCTTCAAGGGTTACGGTGGAGCTCTGCTCTCCTGCCTAGCAGTTCCCCTAGCTCACCCCTTGTGCTGGGTGCCCAGGCCTGTCAGTGCCCCTGCCTTTTGTTTTTCGGATGCAGGTTTGAATTCAAGCTGGTGCTTTACTCAGAGCTTTCAGGGAGCTGTCTCGCTTTTGCTGAGCTTGCAGCCAGATGAGTGCTGGGGATTGGGAGCTCCTGCCGCATCAGAGCGGCTGGTGAAGCTTTCGTTTTCTTTGGGTGGTTTGCACCCCAGGAGTGCTCTGCCCATGGCAGAATAGCTGTGGCCTTCTCAAATAGCGTTTGAGCCCAATCCAGTCTGTAATCAGTTGAGCCATGCCTGAGGGCTCAGCAAGGGTTTGCAGGGAGACAGTGACCCCCCCAGCTCTGTGGCATGGAGGCGGTGGCAGGGTTGGCAGGCATCCTTCCCTGTGTGCAGCTGGGCTGCTTCTACTCCTAGGGACCATGAGCAGGGTGTAATCCTGCTTGTGGGAGGTATGTTAGGAGGAAGAACAGAAAGCCTGGCTGGCTTTGACTCCTAAGAAGATGTGTGGTCTGGGAGTGATGGGAAAGACAAGGAATATCATACCCTGGGACGGCAGCAGGGCAGAGGACCAGAATTCGCTTTTCCAGTGAAATTCATTTTCCATGTAAAGCTGGACAGGCCACATCGCATCACTGCAACTGTCAGTTCTTTGCCTGTCAAGTAGCAATGCATATTTTACTCTGCCCAGGTATTAACTCTGGGGTCTGGGAACTGCTCTCACATGCCTAAAATGTTAACAGACTATTTACCCTTTCTTCCCTAAGGAGATGCTCCCTACAACTGTGTTTTGACACAGAGACGTGAACTTTTTCAAGTTCATTTTAGAAAAAAAAAAAAGCATTATATTTGTAGCCAGAGAACAGGGAGTGTGCAAAGGTCTGCTAGGAAGACGTGGAGGACTTTTTTGCAGGACCAAGGTAATGACTCTTAGAAGTAATAGGAGTGAAAAGGACATTAGAAATTGTCTTTAAATGCCTATGCCACCGCCGATGGTGTGAGTTGTATTGAGATCAAGAAACTAGAGGGCTTTTACTGGCCAGCATGCCAGTTTGTAGCCATACAAAAGCGTGTCATGCTTGGACATTTAAAGCAGGGTTGAGCAGGGATGGTGAGCTTGATCATAAATCCAGAGCGTGGCTCAAGCTTATGCTGGTGGCTTAAGTTGTTAAGGCATGTTGCTAACAAGGTCTCAAAGATGAGAGATGGAGAACTGAAACGTTTGTCCCGCTACTGCTTTCTGAGGAAAATGGGAAATGTTGGAAATAATTTACTTCTCTTTCCTCTGCCGTTATTGAGGATGTGTGGCCTTGCAGAACAGGAAGATCAAAGGCAGCTCTTGGGGCTTTTCTTGACCAGTTAGTCCCATATGTGGTCACATTTGGAGTGTCCAAGAATAGACGTAATCCAGGGCAAGCCTAAGTGCAGATACTGGCTTCTCCCAATGGTTGGATAGTGGAGGCATCCATCAGGGAGAGGTTTCCTTTTGGAAAATGGTGAGGTCTTTCATTAAAATTATGTTTTATTCTATTTTTTTCCTCTTTTTTTTTTTTTTCCTCCTGGAAATGTGAAGACTCAGAATTATATTTGTATAGCCAAATTCAGGGTCTCAGCCACCATCGTCTAACTCCAGTAAAGTAAAAGCTCAAAAAATGTCTAAAGAGAGAGTGGGGGGAAGGAAGCAGAAAAAACAAACCAAATAAACAAGAAGCTTGAGATGTTACGTCCATCTGAGACTGAACTATTTGTTGTCCTAGAAAGCTTACCCAAAATAGAGAGCCCTGCTGGCGTTGGCAGCGTGTCCTTTCTTTAGTTTCAGGAGTGGGTTTTTTTTTTTCTTTTTTTGTTCTTTTGGCCAAAAGTTCAATTTGGTTCTGCTTCACCTACAGCAGGGATGGGGAAGAAGGGTGACCCTCCTGCAAGGGGTGCAGCGTGCCTGGCAGAAGCACTCGTGTATGGTCAGGATGAAGGCGGTATAGAAAATGTACAGCTGGAAGGAGGTTAGTCCTTTGCAGGTTCCCATATGGCTCTTCTGTCCATCAATGTTAAACTGCTGTTCTGAGGCAGGGAAATATACCCATTTCACGTATTAAAGATTTGTGTAATTTTTCAGGAAGAGAAAGGAACAGAGCAATAAGAAGTGAGGGAGGTCTAGTGAAATTATCCCTGTCTATCTTTATTTTCTCTTCAGGATGTATTTGTTGCTGTGCTAAGCTATATCTGATTATATTAACTCCCCTCATTCAGCTGACATTTCCTGTGTAAAGCCACCAGTGCAAAATTAAAATGAAAATCTCCTTACCTCGGGAGATTACTTCTCCAAGCATCACCATGTCTCTGCCAGCCGTGCTGGGTCCTGGTGGCCCTGGCAGCCGGCTGGGGTGGAGGAAAGCACCCTCTCCTCCAGCCCTCTCCCTCGTGGACCCAAGAGCTGTTTCACTCCAGGCTGTTGTACACAGAAGATGAGGACTGACACTTCAGGAATTGCTTAGGGATGGATTTCCCCCTCCAACACCTCCCTCCCTCATATGAATTTATTTACTCTTTCCTTGGTTTTCTTTATTTTACCCTGCTTGATGATAGGATTTTTTTCAAGTCATCAAAATCACAATTTCTTTTAAATAATTCCTGATTCTTTTTACTCCAGATGTTAATAGTTTGAGGTCTCCCGCAGTGGTGTCTTTAACGTTTCTTACCTCTATCTCTCTTTGTGTCTCCTTGTCCCTTTCTCTCTTAAAAATGTGCCTTCTCCGAGAGGTCTGTCTTTGCCGTAGACAGGCCTCATCCGTGGATGTGCGGCACATTACCTGCTGGGGATGGGACTGGGGCTCAGCCTCCTGCACGTGGGACCAAGCAAAGCTGTAGCTGTCAGAAGGCAGCTCTGGGGGTTGTAGGACCTGAGCTTTACCTGAACCATTTGTGTCCTCCCTCCATGTGATGACCCATGTGTGTGTCGGGATGTCTGAGATAATCCACAAGATGTCAACTCTGTTTTGAGCCTCCTTTAAAGGAAAATTTATCCTTTATTGCTCTCTAAAACAGGTAGTGTTGCATAGGGCTTAAAGTTTGCTAATGTTGTTCCTCTTCTCCTAACCTTGGCCATAACCATTTCCAGGTGGACAGCTTCTGAGTAGGGTTGTCACCACTCCTGGACAGCATCTGGCAGCACCCTGGCAGGGAGACACCAGTGATGGGGGGGCCATTGCAGTTCTCTGGTGTGGTGTGCTCCAGTGCTGCTTCTCTGTGCTCTCCCAGGGTGTCACCTAGGTCTCCCTGGCCCTGGTTGAAGGTGACCTGGTGCCTCTGTCTTTGGGACCTGTGTTGTCGATAGCAAGTGACTCTGATGCTATTGGGGTGCCCTGTTGGGTGTTGAGCAGTCGGTGGTATGAATTCAGACCAGCTCTCCGCTTTTTGTCTCTGCTACTGAATACTGGTTCCAGGGATTCAGTAGCAAAGGGCAAGCCATGAATTACTTTATTCTTGGGCAATGGGTGATTGACTTGACACAGAAAGCCTTGGAAGGAGTGTGGGTGAGCTACTCCTGCTGGTGGTGCTTCTGGACACCTGTGAGAAGCTAGCAGAGATACTCAAGAGCAGGTGATCGTCCATGGGTCAGGGTGTTTCACCATAGCAAGGCCAGACTGGACACCAGAAAGCCCCAGGTATGTGCCTGAAGGATGGCATGAACCTCTCTCCCTTGCAATACTGGAGTTCCAGAGCAAGGCGAGTCCCCTCGCAGCTTTGCCTACGAGGAGCGTTGCTGTGCCCTCGATCTGCCACCTCTCTTGCTATTTGCCCTTTTTAATTTTGAGCAGAACTAATGAAATTAACACAAATAAATTATTTGACTGAATTAATGAATGAATCAAGACCTCTAGAAAATACAGTGCTTCTATTTTCATGCTTCAGACCTTTGCAATTTGCCCTTTTAATTTTTTTTTTTTAATTGTCACTCAAAGTGATAATTCTGGCTTGAAGTTCAATTTTAATTTCATCACTGTGAGGCAAGTAATGGTTGTTGCTTTTCTTTCAGTGTCA